AGAGAGAGAGAGAGAGAGAGAGAGAGAGAGAGAGAGAACAACACATAGAGAGAAAGAGACTCTGAACTTAACAAAAAATAAGCCTAAATTTAGGTCACTGACAAATGAGCATTTGCTCTATGGATTGCTTTTATTTTCACTTCGCATCCAAGTTTTCAGGGCTAAATGTATGAACAATCTTGCTTTTCCTTTAATGCTCCATTAGCAGGGGCCAGCTCCTCTGCATCAGTGTACAAGGGCCTCTGTACCCAACAACTGCTTTGTTCATGTGTCTGGCATATTCCTCCCACAGTGTCCTCAGCTGTAGAAATATCTGCAGCGACCGAATCTGGTGACTATGGACACAACCCTCTATCTTCATACGTCTTCCATATTGAGGCCGAGACATCTGGTCCCTGATTTATCCACAATTAATTTGCCTCCCACACTGAGCCTGCACCCTTCTTCACACTATCGCTGTGTTCGTCATACATTTCTTTATGTTGCTCATGTTTTCTATATGGGAAGATACATGGTAGAACTTTTAAACCTCAGGATGTAGAAACTAGAGGCGATTTCGTTTTTTCTTATACAGTCAGTCAGTCTTTCATAATCCCCACCAAACATTGCTGAAAGGAATATGATAATCTGGTCTTACATATCTTACCTTTCTTCAAATCATAAAAGTATTTGTTTAAGAAACTCCTGTGCTAGCTCTTTCCTGCATTTGTAGTTCTTTCCTCATTCCCACCCATCCTTAATAAACATACTATCATCTGCTGAACAAAGACATCGATTTGACACAAGCACTACGTCTCTTTTCTCGAACAGGTTGAAATGTAGGCCCATGTTGTTTCTAGTTCTTCCCTCCTATTCACTCCTGAAGTCAAAGCCAGCTCTGTAACTCAGGAGAAGCCCCTCAAGGTCGTCTCCCTACAGCCATGTCCATCGCTGCTCACTCTTCAAGTTGCTAAAATGCTCTTTCACCCTTTTCCTCCTTACACACAGTCTTCAACTCAAGTTCCTGTGCGCTGCTACCCTGCCGCACCCGCTGGCTCAGGAGTCTGACTCCCTTGCTCGACTGCCCAAGTGATCTATCCGAAAGGCAAATCGGATTATGTTACCCTTTTTGTTTAGGACTGTTTAAGATTCTCTCTGAAACAGTTTAGAACTCAAGTCTGGTACTTCACCACCTTGTCTGTGTCTATACACGCAGTTGCTGTCATTCCCCTTCCTCCCCCAGCTCTATCACTACTTCTACTACCAGAATGGGCTCAGCTGCCTCCCTGCGCTTTGGCTCTGCGCATGCCCCGCTCTTTCCTAGAGGTCAGTCTCTAAGCTGCGCAGCGCGCTCACCTTCCCTAAAAACTGTAGTTGCAGTGCAGCCTTCCCAGGGAGCCACTGACACGCTGCCAGAGGGTGAGGATCCTGCTGGCTTTCCACCTTCGTATTTTTCCACTTTAACACAAACATCCCATTTCTCACTTTGTTTTCCTTGCCAAATTATAAGCTCCTTAAGAACATGTAAGATGTTTTCCTTTTGTATTCCTTTCACCAGCACAGTTCTATCTCAGTTAACTAATAGTTTCAAAATGTCTGATGAGGTAATTTTATTATTTATATATTGTACAGTTTGGGAGGAAGGGTAGCTAAGAGTCTCTAGCTAGGATCTTGACGGTAGGCAGTGGCTTTTACCCTCCATGCCTTTGCATACTTCTTAAGTCAAATTCAGTGTCTGACCAGTGATTCAGAGTGGCTACACTTGCCAAAACCTGGGGAAGGGCAGATTATGTGCTTACTGTTCGTGCGTCCCATAAGGACAGGGTCCTGTCTGCAGAACCTGTGAGAAGAGTGTTGGAGAAGGGGAAGAACTTGATGCTGTTCACCGAGTCTGTGTGGCCATACAAGGTGCTTCTGCATCGTTCGCTGCATGGGGGGAAAAGAGAGTTTAAGTTTTAGGAGTTAACATCTAAGTCGTTTTGCTGTCTATGTAGGCTAATAAAAATAACTGCCTCACAGTCCCAGTATTTCATAGAATTAGCATAATATTGATTAAGTTTAAATTACCTTTAATTTATAAAATCATTTGGTAAAGGCATCTTTATGCTGTTTTCTTTATGTCATGAAATGACTACATAACATTGTCTCCAAATTGTCTAGCAAAGGAATATGTTTAAAAAAGGTCTTATACTACTTCCTAAGATCAAACAAGTTTTTTTTTTTTTTTTTTTTTTCGGAACTAGGGATTGAACTCAGACCCTTGTGCTTGCCAGGCAAGTGCTTATTCTACTGAGCCATCTCCCCAGCCCCAAACAAGTTTTTAGAGCATTATTTTTCTTAATTTTTTTCACAGCCTTGGCTGTATATCAGAATCACCTGATGCACTTTAAGGAAACATTGACATGCAGTCTCCAGTCCCAGATATTCTATTTCACTTGAATTAGGATAAAACTTGAGCATGCATGCATTGATGCCTCCTGTGGTAATCGTAATTGTGCTTAGGCCTGAAACCCTTGGTGACTTTCTAGGTGTTTTACCCAAATAAGCACTGTCAGTGTAACTTGGGAATGTGTTTAAAATGCAGATTCTCAGCTGCATGCCAGGTCTACTGAATCAGACACTGAAGTGCGGCCCAGCAGCCTGTTTAGAGAGTTCTCTCTATGGAATTCGGATGCACGCAAAACTTTGAGTCACTGATCTAAACCATTAGAAAGAAAGAACTGAGAAGGGAAGACAATTATAGCTTTTTTTTGCCATTTACAAAAGGGTTCTTTTTTAAAATCAGGGTACGCATAACACATTCTTTATTTTTAATTATAATTGCTCTTAAGTAACTTTATATATATCCTATGTTTTTTGAAATAGAAAAAGAAGCAGGGTGACTAATATGTGCTGAGAATAGAGAAGTCAATATCAGTGTATTCATAATTTGGTAATCAGTCATACTCTCTGGCTAACTGGTTCTCCTCTGACCTGGACCAGGCCTATGCCTTAGGGTGGTAGACAAATTCTTTAGTAGGAAGCAGAAGAGCAGAGTACAGTTCCAACTCTGAAAAGAACTACCAGAGTAACCATAGGTAAACCCTAGAATCTCATAGCAAACACCCTTCTTGCATGAATGAAATATTTTTTCTTTAACTCAGAAATTCAAGTCAGCTCCAATAACCAGAAATTCTCTGACCAAAGTTGCAAGTGTCCAACTGAACACACATTTACAAAAGAACTATTAGAAACAAAGCTTATTTTTTTCTTCTTAAATTTTAGCATTTTTGAGGAGTCGAAGGATATTAAGTTCTATATATGTATGAACATGTATGTAGGTGACTCAGCAACTTTTCCTTTATATATCAAGGATAAGCACTATAGTACATAATATTCATGAGCATTTATGTTCAAAAATTTTGATATAGTATGCCTTGATTGTACAGCCTGTTATTATTTTCAGATATTTGTTATTTCAGGAAAATTCTTCTATATTTATTTTCCTCCTATTTTTATTATATTTTCTTCAGGAACACTAACTGTGTTATATTTTGTCTCACTTGCCTTTATATTACACATTTTGCCTACAAAGTTGGTATTCTTTTTCCATAATTAAGAAATTATATTTCAATAACATTTATTCCTAAATTGGGTGAGGAAAAGGAAGCCAATGTTTTTTACTGTGTTCTATTTCACTTATTTCCTCCCTTGCCTTTTAAAATCAGGAAAATAATTCTTTTGATGCTTTCTTTTCTTTATTTAGTTTTTATTTTTTAATTTTTTTTGGCAGAACCGGGGATTGAACTCAGACCCTTGCGCTTGCCAGGGAAGTGCTTATTCCACTGAGCTATCTCCTCGGCCCTATTTTCTTTTATTATATAAAACCAGTTATTAAAATACCATTTCCACAGTTAATTTAAATATATAGAGTAATGTTTTGTCTAGTTCTTATAGTTTGGTGATACACTACATATTCTTCACTGGGATTTATTTTACATCATTTGATCCTTCAAAATTTGTAATTCTTCATGTGTTTTGGTTTGTATGGGAACAGCTACTTGATACACATGAATGGCAGATGAAGGAAAACAGAGAGATTAATTGGAGGAAGGAGGAAGTAGTAACCTGGAACATGTGGTCATGGTTTCTATCTAGGTGTCCTCCAGGAGGCCCATGAGCTCATAGTCTGGGCTTTTAGACAGCAACTTGTGGGGGTTTATCTGGGCCTTGCTGTTTGGAGGTAGGGTCCGGTCAGAAGGGATGGGACACTGGGAGCATGGCCTGGTAGAATTCAGCTTCCTCCCTAGCCTCTCTGTTTGTTCTCTGCTTCTAGTCCAAGGTGACCCCCTGCTATGCTATTTGCCCTTGGAGCCATTCTAGTATGAACTGAAAGCAGAGCCAAAATCAACCCTTCCCCACTAAGCTGTGGAGGTCAAATATTTTGTCCCATCAACAAGAGAAGTATCTAAGACATTTATAGTCAGATTTGTTGTCCTTTATAAAATCTTCTAACCCAGTGTGCTGCTGACTTGCTCCCTGAAGTTCATCTCTGCACCATTTTCATATACTTAAGTGTAGATGGAGGTTGTTACAAAATGTCTTGTCTTTCAGGCACTATGTTAATCATAATCCTCCGGGTCTCATACCACTAACAGCCTGTAGTGTGGACTGCAGTTGCTTTATCACTCTTATCTAACAATAAAAATGCCCTCCTGGTAATCACACATCCAACAATGACAGAGTAACCTGTACTGCAGTTTTCTTGGCACAATACAAAAATTATAAAATTACACACATTACATAAGGCAAGCATTTCTGGATTGAACTAAATATAGTGTGGAGTGGTGATCTGAAGTGTAAGAAAGAACTCAGCAGGATCCCTTTGGTCTCTCTGATCTCATCTTGGAATAACTTTCCTGTCATGGAATAGAGAAGTAGAATCTAACAAAAATGAAATCTCACTGAAGGACACTGAGAAAGCCTAGGCTGCCAGGCTGCCTGGAAGTTGAACTGTAGGACATCTGAGAGAGCTGAGCTTAGGCAGGGACAAGCTTGTACGGTATTCATCATGAATTGGCTCTTGGCCAGGGTCTAGGTAGCATTTCCCCAAGGAATGCTCCCCACAGAGAGCTGAATACTGACACCAGATTGCAGGCACTGCTGGAAGAAGAGATCTCACTGTGTACCTCAGAGCCTCAGTTGGACCTCTACAAGGTCTCCACCACAGGAACATCAGGAAGGTGCAAGCCTTGATCAATAAAAATAAAATTATAAAAATAGACCCTAAATTAATTGCTGAAAATCAAAGATAATGACTGCAAGCAATCCATTATAAGTATATTCACTGATTTAGAGGAACTCCTAGTTATAACACATGTTGTTATAGTTTGTGTATATTTGTCCCTGCAAAGGCGCAGTGCTGAGGTTTGTGATTAATTCATGGTCCAAGGCTGGGATTATGGGCCTGACTACTGCTGGGATTATGGGTGTGATCGCTACACCCAGCCTGGGGAAGCTAGTCTAAATGCGACATAAGAGAGACAGACTTGCTCTCTGCAGTTACTGCTGCTGCTACCCCTCCCTTTGCTCTTGCTGTTTTGCTGCCTTCCACCACCATGAACTGCTGCCCTCTGCCATGTGCCAGTCTGCCTTAGAGCCAGCTGAGCATGGACTGAAACCTCCAGTAACTGTGGGCTAAATAAACTTGTCCCTCCTGCATTTTGGGTGTCAGACATGTGTTGCAGCAATGAGAGAAGAGTAACTAAGACAGATGTGAAGGTACTTGTAGAAGATAAATGAAAACTGTAAAAAGCAGCCCATGGGACAGCGGGCCAGTAGAGTAATGTAACACACAAAGTCCACTGGATGAGCAGGATATGACATTGGATACTGCAGGAAAAAGGGGGTTAGTAAGATTAAAAGGGGATCAACAGAAATTATCTAATTTGAGGAACAGGGAAAACATTTATAAACTATAGATAAGGAGTTTCTGTCATCAATGAAAAATAACACAAGATCTAATATATCTGTAAGTGTGGCTCCAAAGACGGTGAAAAGAGAGAGGAAAAAAATGGTATAATACTTTTGAAAAACTTATGGCTAAACTGTTCCACAATTTAATGAAAAAAAGTTAAAGTACAGATCTAAAAAGTTCAGAAAAAATTCAACCATGAATAAAAATAGACAGAATTCACCTAAGGCAGGCTATCATAGAAAAACACAAAGCTAAAGTTCTAAAGTAGCCATAGATTAAACAAAGAAACACAACATGGAGGGAACAATGACACAAATGACACCTGACATCTCAACACAAAGAAGAGAGGCAGAATAATGTTTTTGAAGGCTTAAAATTCAATATTCAGCTAAAAACCCCTCAAACCTTTAATCATGAGGATAAAACAAATTTTCAGATCAATGAAAGTTGAGAAAATTCACTAGTGGATCTTTCCTACAAGAAATGTGGAAATTTATTCAGACTGAGTGAAAATGACATTGGAGAGAAACAACTATACGGAGAAAAGAACAAAATCATCTGAAATGATCAATATATGCATAAATTCAAGATACCTTTTTCCCTACTTAATGTTCATAAGCAGACTGCAGTAAAAGTAGCCACTTAGTTTTTTTTTTCAAAGTTTCATTGATAAACAGATAGCAATGAGACAGTTTCAAATCAAATCGGAAGTACAGTTTCAACAAATAGTACACTGCATATATTCTTCTTAGTGGTTAATTGATGTACAAGATGCAGACTTGTGTTCCTATTTAAAAGTAGCCACTTTGGGGTGGTGTATTAAGTAGGTATAAAATACAAAATAGTAGCTACCCAATATATAGGGTATACACAGTGTATCATTTTAATAATCTTACATATTAGATTAAGGAGTACAATATTAACACATTATATTGGGGATAAAAAAACTAGTAAGCCCTTACTTAAAATA